CATTATTAAGGGGATATCAGATGTGCCCAAAGTCCAGGTTCTGATCTTCTTACTGGTTCTGCTCATTTATCTTCTCACCCTTGGTGGTAACATGACCATTCTCCTGCTCGTCTGTTTGGACTATCACTTGCACAATCCCATGTACTTCTTCCTGTGTAACCTCTCCATTGTGGACATCTGTTGTTCTACTGTAACTCTACACAATATACTTATTATGTTTTTAACGGGAAGTGATAGAGTATCTTTCTCTACCTGCATGGCACAAATATACTTTTTTTCAAGTTTTACGGCAAACGGGTTGTTGATGCTAACTGCCATGAGCTATGATCGCTACATGGCCATTTGTAAACCTTTGCACTATCGAGTTGTTATGAGGATGAAGAACTGTTATGCATTGGCTGTTTCCATTTGGGCTGTGACATTTATAGATATTATACCGTACATGGTCTTAATCGCAAAACTCTCTTGCTATAAATCCAACGTAATCAACCATTTCTTCTGTGATATTATGTTCGTTATAAAACTATCCTGCAGTGACACCTCTGCCTTGGATACTTTGTTTTTTACAGAAAGTTTGTTTCTATTAAGTCTCACTCCATTTCTTCTGACCTTTATCTCTTATCTATTTATTATTGCCACCATACTGAAGATCCGTTCGAGTTCCGGGAGATGGAAAGCATTCTACACATGTTCTTCCCATCTCACGGTTGTTGTTCTGCTTTACTCAACCCTCTCCTGCCAGTATCTAATGCCAATTGCAGTGGGCAATTTGGACTTCAATAAAGGTTTCTCTCTTTTTAACACGGCAGCTGTCCCAATATTAAACCCAATAATTTACAGCTTAAAAAATGAAGATGTGAAGGCAGCTCTGAAACGAAAGATAAAACTGTGATGGTACAATGTTTAGGGCAGAACACCTGGGTATGCCTGAAGTAACAGTGGTGAATAATATTTATCCATAAATGCCCACCTGTTCTGGTTTAGTGCTGGTAGGAAGAAATGACAGTTGTCTGGGAAGATCTGGAAGACCAATGGGACAGTGTTTGTTAACCTTGATGAATAGGGTCAGCGCTACAGAATTTGTAAATAATATTAATAATAATAGGGTAGGGATTCAAACATCTACCCCAAGCAGAAAGACTAGATGTCTATTCAAGGGGAAAACAAACTTAGCTCTATTATAGAATTTACAGAGTAGACTACCTTAATAAATTTTACATATTTATGTGCCCAGAAGTTGCTCTGGTAAACAACCAGCCCACAGGACTGTTGTTGAGGGTAATCACTCAAGGCAGATGATTCTGCCATTTTCTGTCCAGATAGCATCGATGTATGCAAATCAGGGAGACTCAGATGGTGCGAGTGTGTCTTTCCAAACTGTTCACTGACCAACAATCACCTTTTTTCCTACATCTTTATTGGATAGGAAATCCAGCTCACATGATCGAGCAGACTTCTTGTTTATCATTGGAAACTAAGCAACTTATTTGCCCTCAGCAAAAAAACATAGCAGCCTCTTCTCCATTCAGTGCCCCACCTTTATTGGTGTCAGAAACAGCATTCCAAATCACAAATGAAAACGAGCATGTTTGGTCTTGTGTGAGTTGGTTTCCCAGGGATTCTTCAATGTGGTGGCTCACAAATTGGACTTTTTTCTGATTACCCGATCTGCCTGAATTCACCTGAATTGCAGTTTGGTTTGAAATTAATTTTGAATTATTGTTACCACTCTTTGAATATATACACAAAGTGACAATCACAATAAAAGTGCAAAAGAGTGGATACATGCAAAGCTAAAAAATTCCCTTTACAGTAAGGGATGTACCCCAAGATTTCCTCTCAATAGAAATATAATAGATAGTACTAAGCAACAAAGGAGAAAATCAGAACGTAGTGTGTAACTGTGTAAGATAAAACATGTATTATCCAAACACTTTGACGGGACCCGTGACTGAAGCACATACTCCGCACCTCTGTTACCTTGGACCTCCACCTCTTAATGAAAATTGCTGTGTTCTGTGTATTATTTAATTTGTGTTGTGTCATGTTTTATTTCATATCGACCTGCCAGCTGAGTCTATCTATCTTTGTGGAAAAATCTATGTTATACCCTTGCTCAGAATTTGCTTATTGTATCATAGTTGCCTGATTGCCTATATATATATTTTATGTTTAATTTTTTTTTGTATGACCATTGAGCGACATGATGCAAGCTTTTGAAGTTACAGATGCATTACTGAATTATCTGTAGGCACACTGATGCTTGAAAACTCTCAATAAAAATTCTTAAAATGGAAAAAATAAATCACATCTTGTTTTCCTAAATTAAAAATGTTTATCATATATAATTCAACTAAATTATATTTTTTTTAAATGATGCATGATGCAATATTTCACTTTACATCTGCCTTAGCAGCAATGTTGGGTAAGACTCAACTGTTATCTAACCAACTGCTACTCAACTACTGCGATTGCTCTGTGTGAGACTGCAGCCAGTTAGTTAAGTTGAGCAGCATATCTCTTATCTTAAAGCTGTTGGTTAGATAACAGGAGAGTCTGATTTAACATGGCTGCTCAGCCAGACAAAAAAGTGAAATTTTCTCAAAAAAGAAATAAAAAATATCATGTCACTCACCACTATTATTGAGTCTAGATTTGTCACTGGACAAAAGGTTGAAGTTGATTGATTGAGTCTTATTTCAACCTAGATTACTATGGGCCAATGTTTTATCCATAGAAAAACAACTTAAAGGGACACTATAGTCACCAGAACAACTACAGCTTAATGTAGTTGTTCTGGTGAGTATAATCATTATATGCAGGCATTTTCATTTTTCATAGAAAAGGCAGTGTTTACATTGGCCATAGGGACACCTCCAAGTGGTCACTCCTCAGATGGCCACTGGAGGTGCTTCCTGGCTCAGTGCTGCACAGTAGGCAGCAGATTCAATGCATCTCTATGAGGAGGTGCTGATTGGCCAAAACTATGTTTTGGCCCGCCCCTTGCCGATTTTAGCCCTATGGGAAAGCATTGGATTGGCTAAAAATCAGCAATTCGTAAGATGTCACCAAGGGGGTGGGGCCAGCGCCGGCAGAACTGTGCAGCACTGCAAATAAGGTGAGTTTTATTAACTTGTCAGGTGGCTAAGGGTGGGTTTAGCACTACAGGGTCAGTAATACATGTTTGTGTTTCTGACCCTATAGTGTTCCTTTAATTGTGGAGCTGCCAGCATTATGATATCATGAGTTTGTTAACTGTACAACAACTGGGGGTGTCTGCCTTTCGGCCAGCCTTGTTTTTCTTTTCAAATATTTTTTATTGATAATACATTTTTCAGAAACAATGAAAGTATAATATAACATTCATATAATAAAATAAAATGAACAATAATGATAAAACAAAACAGGTGAAATACAAATGATACTAATAAGGAGAAAATAACAAATAAGTTGATGTATGTATGTATAAAGATATATAATATGGAACAATATATATCATTGGGGTGTTTGATTTATTAAAAAAGTAATGTATATTTTCCATAAATGCTCAATTGAGTATAAATTATGAACACAGCTCATATTTTCTTCTCACATCTCCATCTCACAATATCCATTCATGTCTTAAATTGTGTATAGGACTTGATGTAGTATGAAGAGCTAGTTCATATCTTATGTTTTCAAAAGCTGACTTACTTCACTCATGGATTGGATGATTGGTGACCTCTAGTGTCGGGAAATTACAGAACTGGCAGATATTAGTTTTTGGGTTTTTTACCATTCAATACATTTTCAGGGAATTTTTTGAATAAGCATTGTTCTGGCAATAAATTTACATGGAATTCAGTAATTGCGTCAATCAGTTTGTAAATCTCTTGCCAATATTTAATATTTTAATAATATTTAATAATTTGGTGTTGGTGGTGTCAAGATTTAACTTGAAGAGTCTGGACAGGGTTAGATAACACCTATATATTATTTTGTAATGAGTTTCCTAATGACTAACACAATGTGTGATATCATTTAATGCCAATATAAAACTATTCCATTCTTCTGTTATATATACCCCACACGGTTCACGCTCCCACTTTAACTTGTGGTCCAACTTGGGACCTACTTCTCCATCAAAAAGTGTCTATCACATAGAGATGGTGCGTTTCTGACCAGGAACGGAAAGATAAACTTTTCTAAATTTGACATTTACAATTTTCTTTTATGCAGATCTTTGTCAGAAAGTTTAACTCCTTAAGGACCAAACTTCTGGAATAAAAGGGAACCATGACATGTCACACATGTCATGTGTCCTTAAGGGGTTAAAATGGTCACTAATTATTGATACCAATCTCTTATGTGTAGGGGCGTCTAAAATAGTTAAGCCAAATTTTTCCTTTAATTGGTCAAAGGATAAAAAAAAATAGATATTTAATGTGGGTAATAGAATGTGAAGTCCAATAGTTAATATCTAAATCAAGGAATGTACGTTGCAATACCGATAGAGCAGGGCCGGATTAAGAGCACAGTGGGCCTGGTGCTGACAATAATGATGGGCCTAATTACGGAATCTTATCGACCAAAAACACTAAA